AAACATTTTTAATTTCTCAAACACGTCTTGATATGTCTCAGCTCGCGCCTTCGTCGGTTGAAAAACTATTTGAAAAAAGAAACTATTTGAATTAATACTAATCTCGACAGATGTGCATGACTATGATGACAGGAATATAGGAGAAAACGATCCTCTATAAACAGCTATTAAAGCAAAAGTGTGAGGTTGACATCATTTACTATTTAACTGAAATGATTTATGGGTTTTCCCAGTTGATGGAAAAAGCCTCCTTGGTTTTAGGCTGGAATTTTTTAAAGGGCAGAACCTATAGTTTCGATCTGTTGACCGGAGTACTTGGTAAGCTTTGGAAATATTTGAAAAGGTAAGAAGACCCATGTGTGCAAAAGTTTCTCCTAGTCCCTTTCCCGTTTTTTTTTTTCTCTTCCCGTTTTACTTCTTTTTTGGTTGTTGTTGTTTTTGTTGTTGTTTTGTTTTGTTGTTTTGTTTTTTGTTTGTTTTCACTCTCTTTTGAAGACTTACCACCAGCAGGTAATCTGCAAAGATCTGGGGAAGAAATGTATACACGGTCGTATCTGTTCCTGAGAACAACCTCACCGTCTACTGAGACCAATTCGTATTGCAAGATCGCCTCCAAAACATTCACCACAATTAGAAGCAAGTATCAGTTAGAAAGCGGCTAGAAGAACCTTGTGTAATAAAGGAAGTAATACAATATGAGCTACATCTGTTGTGCATCGAGGGGTGTTTTCCCGAGGTCTTAACCCCTTGCTGGCGATCGCTCTCAGCGCTAACCCAAATCTTCTATTCTCAAATCCTGGATCTTCATAGTATCCACCCATAGTCAACTGGATAAGAAAGGGGCTAGAGTTATGGTTTGGTCGTTGACCAAAGAAGAATACTAAAAGTTTTTGTCACGAGTGTGTACTTCCAAAAGAAAATCTGATTACTCCCACCACCAAAAGGATCAAATCTTGGAGTGTTCTTTGAAACTCTCTCTTAGCCGCCGGGCCCCTTCCCTCTGTTTCTTATAAATTTACCATGTGGACTTTCACGTTTCTAGTAGCACCCCCCTCCCTTCCAACTAGTCTACTAAGGCCCTCCCCTGAGCGATTCTTTCCCCTCCTTCCCCAAAGCACACTTTCATTTCCGAAAAAAGGTTGTATTTGAAGTACTCCATTGTTTCACACTCTGAATGTCGAAATTTTTCAACCGGAAAAGTGAATTCAGCCAAAAAAAACCAGAATAAAAACTAATTCAAAGCCCCTCCCCACCTCCGAAAAGCTTCTCCTGTAATTTCCTCCCCCCTCCCGAAGCCTCGGAATTTCATAAGCCTCTTCTCCCTCCCAGTGTTTACAATATCATATTTGATATCAAAATTATTAAAATATAATAACTCCTCAAATTGACAAGAACACCAGTGGGAATAAAAGACCAATGAGAAACTTTAAACGTTGGAGGCTTATCATACTTTCCTAAAAAAGAATGGAACAATAAAACTTGAATTTCAATGCTATTTTGACGCTTTGGGAAACCCCGCACAAAAATAAATAATTGCTAAAAGTTTTTAAAACCTTAGACTAGAGAGAAACAAGCACAATTTACTGTTCAGTCACTAGTTATTAAACGGCTGATATGAATCTTATTTCTCCATACTTTTGGGCCTGGAGTGGAAGATTTTGAGCGGGATCACATGGGAGGGGATGGGGATCAGTTGCTTTAAAACCTTAGACTACAGAGAAACAAGCACAATTTACTGTTCAGTCACTAGTTATTAAACGGCTGATATGAATCTTATTTCTCCATACTTTTGGGCCTGGAGTGGAAGATTTTGAGCGGAATCACATGGGAGGGGATGGGGATCAGTTGTCACTAAAGGTGTATAAAGGTGTATAAAAGGGGGACTGCAGAAAATTAACCTCCAATTAACTGCCAATGAGAAGAGATCGTATGAATATTACAGAGCCTTGAAGGGGGATCAGGTACATACTAACCAGTCCCCCAACAAGCAATAAATAGTGACTTGTGCTTCAGTCCCTGTCTCTCTAATATAACGTATTTCCTGGCCCAGAAACAGAACAAACAGAATTTTATAGAAAATTACAATGACCTGGCTCTTCTCATTTTGTTCGGAAAAAATGTGGACTTTTTCAAAAAATGAATGGTCTTATCGGCAGCTGGTTTATTGAAATAAGGAGGGCGGGGAAGGGGGGGGTAATGGAAAGTGAAAAGAAAATCATTTGGAATCGAGGATAAACGATTAAGAGTGGAGAACGAATTGTCAAACCCAGGAATCGGAAATCAGAAATGAGGAATACAAACAGAAAAATTGGAAATTGGAAAGATCATTAAAGGCCTCCAAAGTAGTTGATTAATCGAGAAGGGAATCTTCCTCGTAGCGCCTAATTCCTCTTTCTTAATTTATCAACTCATGAATGGCATGAATTTCACATCTAAAATCTCATTCTAGTTCAGCAAAATAAACAAGTCTTTCCAGGTAGCTATAAGAAAGCAAATTAGAATTTCTTTTTTTTCCTTTGAAGAATTCTCATTTTTCACTTCCCATTCGATTTCTAGTATTCCTGAACAGCTTTTGAGAGCAGAATATCTTTTAAAGAGGATTAAAAATAAATCAAAAGAGAGACACTCACCACAGAATGATGCATTTACGATTTCAATTCCCGAAGGATATCCCGTTGTTCCACTGATGTAAAAAAGGAGCATGCTCAAAGCGATAATTCGTCGTAGCCGACTGATCGAAATCATCATCGTCTTTTTAACAAATAGCTGGGAAGTAAAACAATGAAGAGTAGTTTAGATGTCAAATACGTCTGCGAGTAGAAACGTGAGATTTAACGTGGAATTTTTTAGCAATGTATGTTATCCTCTCTGAAATACTTCTCCCCAAAAGGTGTCTTCTAAAGTAAGCTTTTGCTTGAAACGCTAATACACGCCTGTGTTTTTCAAATGTCACGAGTGAAAAATGATGCAAGGCTGAGTAAGTTTTCTTTGTGATGCATGCCAGAATTTAGGAAATAGGCAGTAGGTCTAACGAATTCGATATCTTTAGGGAAAAAATTGGTGGATAAGGTTGAACCGATGTACTGCTCAAGGTTCGCGAGGTTGAATTTTTCGAAATTTAATAAAACTGCAGTTTTTGAAACTTCGTATTGGGCTCACTCACGAGTCCAAACCGTTTTTGAATCAGGGCACGAAAAGTCTTTTTTTCGGAACGTCGTTTTTGATCGTTTGCTGTCCGCCATTAATAAGGCACGTTCCAACCACGTAGGAAGGGGCTTGGAATCGAGTAAGCGGAAATGACTATCTGTTGTGTTAAATGTTTTTTTTGTTTTTAAACTGAAAAAAACCGATCAGCGAATTCATCATAAAAAACATGGGTATAAATCAGTGATCAGTATATAAATATGTCATTAAAAATGCAATTCACCATCGATACAAGTTAAGATTAAATTAAAAATTACCAAAAGAAATATTTACAGTGATAAAAAACCTATACACTACATTTGTGTTGTGCCTTATCTGATTCTATTAAAAGTTGTAATTGTAAAAATTCTCAGCGTTTCGCAAGCACGCAGTTCTTTGGCGAGGTTATTGTAATTCTTATCAGGTACCTGATATGGAGGATAACATTTGGGAGACAACACCTTATTCCAGCTGTCCTGAGGGGGAAAGTTTGAAGAAAGAGAGGAAAAAAGCTAAAGAGAATAGTTAGAGACCCTAAGAAGGATACATTGTGGTTACACTGGCAGGCGATGGCCGTCATGACAGCATGGGCCATTCTGCAAAGTATGGCACTTATACCATATTTAGCTGTACAATAGGCCTCATCATTCACATTGTTCTTGTAAAGGTTGGTAGATGTGAAATTCATGTTAAAAAAGAACTTACTGTAATGTATTATAAGACAATATAAGGGAACATTTCATAGTAGCAAAAACAAATTGAGCATACAACGAACCAGCATATTTGTTCTGAGTCACTTTGTTTTCAGAGTATGTGGCCGAAATCCATGATACACTAATCTCATCGTCGAGGGAAGCTAAGGGGCTGTGAAAGAGGAGTTGGGTAGGGAGACCCCTCAAGCTTTGCACAGTATGCTGCAAAGCAAAGAAACAAGGAAGAGGCCATTGAAAAGTTCCATTCCAGAAAGCAGAAAGAAACAGTTATCTGTCCTCCAACCTGTTCTGGTCAGAGGGAAATGCCCTTTTTCGTCTTGCTTATTTTGTGAAGGACAAAATATTATGTTTTGAGAAATAAAGACTGACTGAGTAAACAAATGTAAACAAATAAATGAATCAATCAGTCAAACAATGAAACAATCAGTTATTCAAATGATCAATCAGTCCATGAAACTGTTATTTTTTTCCCCTAATTTATGATGCAGGGCCACAGGCAATGTTCAGCCTGCTGCAACTGCTGCTACTCGCAAAAGGAAGACACACATATGCTGGATAGTGCTTTATCGGGTGGATAGCGTTATCCAATCTTTGAACAACCAGGCCCTGGGGAACAAACAGGTTTCTCTGAAATGAAAACTTTCTTGTTTATCTCCTGTCAGAAGTTAGGGCTACAACTTGAATCACTGTATATGAACCTGTTTCAGAATTCAACTATCATGCCTGGTTATTGTATGGCTTTGATTTTATGCAATGTGGAACTATAAAACTGCTCTCAACTGTGTTATGAAAAATTAATTAGTGTTATTGTTGCATTTGAGCACTTGATCAGAAAACAAACAACAGTTTTCAGGTGACAAAATTATATTTGCTATTTAATATATGACTATATACATATAGACTTTCTGTAAACTTTTTCCAAACGCGACAACATCAAGTAAACAGTAAGGACATAAATATTGTGAAACCTAGTCTTTGAATGACAATGTTTGTTGGAACCTCACAATTTTCCCGTAAAACAACTTTTATCATCCGTTTGGAAGGTTGAAACGAGTAACGTCATCCGTTCATTGAAAATAATGAAGTGTTTTTTCTTTTACTACATTATAATTCATCCTCATCTTCTTCCTCATAACCATGATACTGACCTTCAGCTATGGGAAAGGCAGATCTCATTACACTGTACACACAGCAAGGAAGAGGAAGTCTGTTTGACATGCCAACATATACCCAAACCATACCTACAAATTGTCTTTAGGCCACAGATCGCAAAAAATCTGTAAATGTAAATGACGTCCATATAAGTGATTAGAATTGCGCGTTTCCGAATAAATACAAAAAAATTATACAATAGAAAAAGCCTAGCTACAAACCATTCTCTGACGTCGACTTTACCAAAGAATCTTCGGAGAAGATCGTCTTCTTCTTCTTCCTCCTCTACAGCGACTTACATCGCGTATTGCCCAGCTTCTCCTTCGTTTGCTGCCGGTTCGACACTTTCGTCGTATGGTGCAAAACCCATATTGCCGATACAAAACTATCCTCCGAAGCGCTAGACAAACACTCTGAGTCATCTCCTGATGAAACTTGCGAATATTGTTTTTCTGAGCTCGACATATTTCCTTTACTTTCCTTTGACAAGAAGTCCTAGAAGATATTCGTGTTGAGAATCTGACGCAGCACCAAAGTTTATTTGGGAAACTTACTCCCTTTATTAAAGAAGGGCTTTGAGGTTTTCTCTTTTGCGATTTAAGCCATTTTTAGATGGTTTGCGGAAGAAACGCTGGCGGATTTCATACCCTATTCGATTTTCCCATATGCTCCCTGGTCTCTACTTCTACTATATTTCCTCAATTGTGAATTTGATGACACGAAAATTCGACCGCATAGAGAAGCCTAAGTATTAAGAGGGGAGCCAAAACCAAAACTTGACACACATTATTCCTACAGTACTGTACAAAAGTAATGCAAACGATTATCGTTGTTTATCGCGCTTTGTTCTTCCGATATATCACCGATATATCGTTCATTTTCTTGACACCTAAATCGACGAGATATCGGAGCTCTCCTGCAATATCTCGTTCCGACGATAAATCGTTTCATATCGCTTAAACGATATATCGAAGAGCGTGCAGAACATCATCACGATATATCGCTTCAGTGAAATATCGTTCCAGCGATTTATCGCTGAATCAGGAATGATTCATTGCGATATATCGTTCTGGTAATGTGTCACCTCAGCGAGTTTTCTCATGGCGAGAAATGCTTGTCTTCCATATCTCGTTTAAGCGAAATAATTATAAGTTTTTTCAGATTCCTCCCCCATTTTGTTTTGGTTTATGTAAGTTGTTAATGTTGTTTAAGTGCGTCTGCAAAGGTAACATTCCATGAAAGCGTAGTCAATAGGTACATGTAATTACACTCAATGCAGCCAGTTTAAAATGGGGTTTTATTTGAAGCTCGTTGCAGCATTGTGAAAGGAGGCAGGCCTCAAGGGAAATATTTAGATTTAATATTCGAAAAAGACGTTATTTTTTTAAACAAATGATTTTATTAAAGTATTGTTCACTACGCCTTAGGATGAAATTGGTAAATCAAGATCAGTTTAGTATGGACGCTTTTCCTTTTCATTTTTTTGCAAATGCTGGCAGCGTTTTCTGGTGCTAACTTTGCACGTATCTCACATGCGGCTCGTTTCGTCAGTTCTGCGGCACTGTTAAGAACAGGCCTTGATCACCTCAGCTAAAAAAAGAAAAGAAAAACAGAAAAAACCTCAGAAAAACAAAGTATTAATTGTCGCAGCGCAAGAGGGGAAGGGGGGGGGTGTTTCTTACCAGTACAACATACAGGTCATAAAAGCAAAACAAAACAAAGCAACATAAAAGCAATTTGGTTGGAGAACATTATACATTTCATCGAAGTAAAATAACAAACTTTCATTAGCATACCTTTTATAGCTATGTCCGATGGAGACACTTCAGAATACTGACTTCAGCTCCACTTTACTGAAACGATTTTTCTTCAATGATTTTTTCCATTTTGGTTCTATGTGCTATGATGAAAACTACTTATGTTGAATGAATTAAGCTTTCCTCTCTTATAGCAATCGAAGCCCGTAGATGGATCGAGATTTTTATCAGATGACTGGTTCTATTTGGTGGTTTGTTCTCCATAACAATAGAGGCTTCAGGAGAGCTTTTCATATTTAAATTAACTACACGCGAAAGGATGTGAACAAAAGGCGTGATAAATCGACTTTGATAGAGTTAATGGAACCGCGGGCTAATTTCAGTCCTTTGATTGTTACGTGAGAAGACGGGTAATTTGAAAGTGCTAAAATTCTTGTTTTTGAGATTAATGAAATATGCATACACGCTTTAGTTTTTGTGGCACGTGCAAAGAACAAGCAAGGAAACAAGGAATATCAATGCCCGATTCTGTCAGCCCTTAATTAACCATACTGCTTTTTTGGGAAGGGCGAAGTTCAATTGAAACAAAGTTTTGTCTCAGTTTTGGTCTCATGCGCACAAAAAAAGGAAACGTATTGATGGTATGAAGGCTATGCATGAGTAGTCTATTGTTTATTGTTTAAGAGAGCGGGTCATAAAAGTGCCAATATTCTTGTTTGTCTGTTTGTTAAATTTATCAACAATCTTAAGTTTTTGTATGCGTAAAATACTTGGGTACATAAAAGGAAACTTTCACGGTATATATGGTGCAAAGACTGTTTCATTCATAAGATATCAAGATTATTGGTTTTTTTTTTTAGTGTAAAAAAGGCATCTAGTTACAGTCTTAGTCGTTTTAATAACCATTGTTAACTTTTTATTGGTCAATGACTTTTGTGAAATTTGTGGCTCCCAAAGGAGCCGTTGCTGCTCCTTTTGCCTCCACTACCGCACGGGACGACTTTCTTGAGATCATGGTCGATATACGCTTGTTGCCTCGTCGTTTCTAGGCATTTGCTCTCAATAAAAGCTTTCGCATCTGCTGGAAGCTTTGTCGGCCTTCCTGATCGAGGGCGGTTTTCAGTGGATCCAGTTTTCTGTATTTTGTTGATGATCCTGTAGATTTTCGCGTCTCAAGGCTTTCAATATTTGTACGGGAAAAAATCCTTCCTTATGGAGACAAGCAATTCTTTTTCTCGTATGTGAAGTAACCTTCGGCATGATTACGCGGTAGTATCCCGCGGGTACATTATATGCAAATACAGGTTGATTTCCATGGGGATGCAATAACACATCGCAACGCGTTAAAAAAAGTAACCTTGCACCCTCCCTTAGTACTGTTTTCACAAGCTGTCTTTTTCTCGCTCTCGCTATTCTCGTTTGTTCGACAGTGTCAAAATGAATATAGGCTTTCTTATAATTTGTTTTATTTTGTGCACTAGCGAACTTGCTTAAAGGAGAACTGAAGCCAAAAATTAAGTTAATTTCTTTCGATAGCCAAAGTGACGAAATTATCGATTTCAGGCGTTATTTGTGCTAAATGGAGAAGAACCTCCTCAGGAAGAGAGTGTAGAACAGGAGGTAGAAGCCCACGAAGAAGATACTACTTCGAGGATGGGAAACACCGAATGGTGTTTGTGCGGCGCTTGTGCGCTTATGCCAGAGGCAAATGAATGTTACTGCTGCCAAGACCTAGAGGAGCTTAATCAAAAGTTCGACAATTCAGGTTTGTACTTAGTATGTGATTATTCTCACGAGTATTTTGTTTGAAGCGGCCGCTTCTTTGCTAAGAGTGACAAAAGGTGAACAATTGCAAACTCGATCTTAGTTGTAATTACAACTACAAGGTCTGATGGATGAAAATTATTGAAACAGTGAGGGAAAGAAAATGTTAAGACTTTTTTCTTCTTTTTGGGTATTGATAATTGTTAGATGTATAACAGAACATCCGAAATTTGGCATTTTATGCTTGGACAAGGATGTTTTGAGCACGGCACTGGTTGCAATCCACAATGCGCGGCTCAATCCAATTCCCGACCCTATCGTCAACAGGTAAACTGTCTTTTTTGTACGCGTAATTAAGTCAATCGCTTTTGTGACTTTATATCCTCTTGTTGTCTAGAACTTGGCGTTTGGCAGCCTACAGACAATTTACTTGGTGGGCACATGGGGTATTAGGAAAAAACCGGCGGAGAATCGTGCCAGCATGCGTCGTCACGGCCATACGTAAAACATTTCCTGAAGAGAGTGGTAATTACGTGGGGTTTCGAGAAGCAGATCTGGAACTTTGAACTTTATCCGTAATGTCCTTTAATAATGATTAGTAACATATCCTTTGCTTGTATAACATCAGAGGCTCTTATTTCCTTATGTTACGGTTTCTTTCTAAAATTTTCGCGAAATATATAATTACTTATCGAGGATATGAATTACTAACACATTTCTGCATAGTGATTCTGTCAAGAACCATGCAGAGCCAAACAAATGTCATCCTTATTGCAGTTATTAAATTATCCACATTGCCAGGGATAGCTGTGTGGCCTGAATGAAATAAACCTCAAACCTAACTTTGATTGCTTTTTGCTACGATGATTGCTTTCATTTTCATTTGATTGTGTTATTGACAAAGTTATATTTAATTATTCGAAAATCTCGATGTAAGATTAACAATGACATCTGCTTTAGGAGGCCGGGGTTTGCTGGCAATGTTTTCAGGAATGTGTGGTGCTGTGACCGTTGCACTCCTCTCTTGTGGTTTTTTTTTTCTTTCTCTCTATAGCATAAAGAATTGGCTTGAGATGATAATTGGTTGTCTTCTCAAATATGGGCTTTGCTACCCATTCTTTTGTATTTTTCGGAAACACTACCTTGTATTGCAGCTCCCCTTGGTTGGCACCCCTGGATACAGTGGCTTTTTGCCTACCAGTGTTGGCATTATGGTCTAGGGCTGCCAACTGAGTTCGAGCAACCATGCCATTATAAAAGAAGTGGTGCCGTTTGGGTGCATATTTGGTCTGCACACTATGGTACATCTCTAAATTGCCAGTATGACAACATAGTGTTAGTTGCTGAATGTCCTTCAACAGATTTTTATCGAATACAACCTCCTTAAATGCATTATGAGCTGAGGAGCCAGGCCTAAGCCACCTTTTAGTTCTTGCGATAGCCGGAGGGATTGGTTGGTGGGCACATTCCTCATACAGGTCAGCTGAATCCCAGGAGTGGATATTGGCAATGTGATAGACAATGGATATCCACTTCTCTCTCAACATCTCCTTATCTCTCCCACATGTTTTGGCACACCACCAAAGGTGGTTTGAGATGGATCTGATCCAGAGAGAGAGATCAGCACATTCTTTCTTCTTTGCTTTTTCAGTTAACTTTTTAGTTATACTCTTGGAAAGGTGCCACACATCAAATTGATGATCAACTTCAGGAAAATGTCTTTTCATGCCAGCCCTAATGCCCACATGACGGTCAGTTGCAACAACCATAATTTCCCCCCCTTTTTCATGGATGTTTTCCATACAGCGTTTAAAACCCTCTTTCCATGGCATTGCTATCATTAACTTCACTGACCTGAACAACCTCGAAGTCAACAATCTTATCAGTTTTCTGATCAATCATAGTATATGTCCCATATTTTGCATTATGGCCAGGACTGTCACAACGCCCATCCCCTGAAA